ATTATTGGAAATAAAAAAATTAAATTAAAGTCACATACATTTTTTATACAGGATATTATTTATTTTTTATTTATCTAGAATACATCGACTACTTGGTCATCAGTACTTATAGTACATGTACATTTGTGTATTGTGTTATTTACGATTTTTTTGTTTTAATTAAGTTGTACAATTCAGAATTTTTAAGACATGAAATTATATTCCTTATGTATCTTGTGAGTTCGGTCCTAGTTAGCATTTTGACAACGTTGGATATACAAACATATATAATAATAATTAATAACAATAAAAGATGAAAGATTTTCGTTATTTTTTGCGATTAAAAAATGAAGGGTGGGCGGAAATAACGTGCTATGTATAGGAACACTCGAAATCTACTATATACACCAGAGCTACTTCCTAGGTTCTTATTATTTTTACTTATTTAGAAGTTAATAAAACATCTTTGAGGAGCTTATAACTTAAGTATCAAGCTTATACTTATATAGTAGTACTAGTAATTAGGTACTTATACGCATGTGCGTGCGACAAATTACCGATTTTTTTTTATTTGTTACTTATGATGTGGACTTATAATGCTGATAAGGCGGTAATGGCACACGCGCGTAAGTACCGCTGTTGTTTATACACGAACCACGCCGCGGAAGCAGTCCAGGTCACCGATTGGTATATTAAAATAATAAAATCGGCGTTAGACTTTCTGGAACCGACGAGGTAGCCTTGACGACGCGACGCACCATAACACACCATTACGTTATGTTCTTATGTAGAGTAGTTACGTGTTCGTTCTRCCATCGCACCTTAACACGTTTTGTTAACAATTAAAAATGAATAACAGCTCGATAAAGTGGTAGGTCGCGTAATTTTCGTGATGAGGATGCGAAACGTGCAGGATGATCAAACATCGCAGTATTTAATACTTAAACCATAATATTTTTAAGTTACATGTTTAATGATACAATAGTTAGATATTTTTAAAATCGTTTCAATATATGGTTATTTTTTTTCTATAGCTATAGCAAATATGGATGGTCGGATGGATTGGCTTTTTTTGGTCCAGGGTGCAAAATTAAGTAGGAACCCATTGAAATGGATCCATTAATAATGTTTTTTTTTTTTAAACTTATTAGGAATAAGGATAATCATAGAATAATTCTACATTACAATATTAAGGGTAAAAATTTAAAAAACAGTTCTAAAGAAGTAAACGTAGCTCTTGTGATGCAACTCGATATGTAACACCCTGCAGGGCYATTCCACTCAGATAGTCACTTTGGTAAACATATCCAACGCTTGGTACTGCGTAGATAGTCTAAAGTGTTCGACGCAGTAGTAAAAATTGTAAAATCAAAATACTTGGCGTGTTGTAGGTGGAAAGACCTTTCTTCGTGTTTAAATAATTGAAAAGAACATATTATTTTTCCATAAATTATCAACCCATTTGGATTTGAAAAAAAACTAACATTTGCTTATAAAAAGATAGGTATAACTGATGGCTAATTATCTATACAGTTTGTGATTGAGCTATAGTTGATGTTAGTTGCATAATTAATAAGAGTTATATAAATTATAACTCATGAGCTCCACCGGAAACTGTATCTCGGCCAATTGAGGGAAAACGTAAAAATATATCTCGTAGCAGATTTTTGGCGTTGATGATGGTACTCGTCACGAGATTGGCGGTTACGCATGACACCGGAAAATGTACTTTTTAACGATTGTTTGGTGGTTAACGGATAAAAAAATAACGAAACAAAAGAGTAAAAGACTCGGAGCGGAGCGGCGAGCCGCTTGGCAACATCGCGGACCGTCGCCACCGCTGCACCGAAAACCGGTCTTCGGTCGTTACAGGTGTGGTGGCGCGTCACGACGGACAGGTACCAACGACAGTGGGGGCGCAGAAAGCGAACGGATGCGGCTTTTTTTGTTGATGGTTGTGGTGGTGGTGGCGGCGGCGGTTGGAGGAGTAATAATTGGTGACGGTGAGGCGGCGCGCAACAGTAACGACAACGTCGACTCGGGAAAAAAGGTGAGTCACTCGGCCGCGTCGCGTGTGTGTGTACCTGCGCAGGTTGCCCGGTGAGCGGCGGCGGGACACCCGCCGCCCGGTGGGGGAGTACCGAGTGTAGCGGTCGTGGTGTGTATACACACGCGAAAACATTCCTCTACAACTGCTACACCGCTGTCGCCGCCGCTCGTATCGCACCACGATAATATTAATAATAATATTATGGTTMTGTGGGCCTTTGACGGGTTCCATCCGACTAYAGGTTACCTCTACGGCACCGCGACACAGCAGCCGCCATCGTCGACAATAGCAGCCGTAGGACGTTAGGTGAGCGAAATCCAAGATTATTATTATTATTATTATTATTATTATTGTAAATTGTTTTGTTTTCGAAACGATTTGGCGAAGTGACCAAACCGGTTGGTCGTCGGCGGCGGCTGAGGTTCGGTCGGAGCGCGCCAAAAGCGTTGGTTCCCGGCAGCAGTCGTCGTCGGCTCGGCAGTCGGCAATCGGCCGCGCACGACTTCCGACCGTCGCGACGTAGACGATACGATTTTTATACCTAAACGGATAATACGCGTGATACGCGATCGTCGTCTCATCTTTGCAGTGATATTATTTGGATATTTCAGTTGTCGTCGTCATGGCGGGCTTGTCGCTAAGGAAGCCGTGCGGCGAGAAGGAGTGCCCCGAGTACCACATGTGCCAGCCTCACGATCTCCAGTGCTACCCGTGCCATTCGTACTGCAACGAGACTTCGCACAACTTTGACGTCAAAATATGCCAACAACAGTGTCAAGGTATATATTATATTATAGTTATTGAGCATTTGAGCTCTTTTTGCAGACGACCTTCTATACTAGGTTTTCTTTACGATCGAGGTACATTCGGCGCCATTTTAAAACGTTTAGGTACTCTTTTTTTGGCCAYCTGAAATTTTCCGATAAAACTGATACGTATTAGGCACTCGAACACAGATGAACGCGCCCGTTTCTGACCACAAGTATACATTTTACGCTCCAAATATGCGTTAATCATACATCATAGTTAAGCCATTTTATCGTCTTCCGTTATGGAGCGAATCACTGGAACGTATATTATATGAATTTGCTTTAATTTATTTATCCTATCCATACGATCGCGGACTTTTAACGCAGAATATATACAGTATATTGTGTACTTGCAATGGCTGAAACGTATTCTAGTGTAATTTTTAGTACATATTCACCATATAGTATCTTTATAAATCGTGCAAGACTGCTATAACGATTATAATTATAATTATTTATCGTCAAATATTATACAATTTGAATTATTATAAGTGGCCGCCTTATTGTATAGTGTTGTTACACTTACTATTAAAATATATAATAAGTAATTCGGTTGCCGACCGTGCAGCAGTCGTTTGTGCGCGCGCGAGGTCAACCACCAAACGTCTCGCGTAGTCGCGTCCTTTTCTCGGAGAAGGAACAAATTAAAAACCCACTCACGTAGTCGATGGTACARGCGAGGGGAGAACCTTAAAATATTATTTCTTTCACACCGACTTTCTACTCAGGAACATCGTCCATAAACCATAATATTCGCCGTATTCAACCGCACGCGTRTGTGACATTACCTACGCTACCTCGCTTCTACGAATATTCATTAGTTCTGCGGCCGACACCGTCGATGTTCCGCCATAGCCGCTTTCTATCACGACCTAAGGAATCTGCTCCTGCAAACTCACAAAAACCGCCAAGACCATCAACAGGAATCGGTGTGTAGTACCTTTGGGTGGGTCCCTGGATTACCGTATTTCGTATTAATATTATCATATTCCGTTGTTTATACTTTATATTCCATAAGATATTGCAGTGCATTTAAGTTTTTTACTTTTTCCCATCACAAGATCACTTCGATTTCACTTCACTCTTCAGCGCACTTTCCAAAATGTCTCTGAAATAATTATTGTTAAAACGTTCGACTCGTGCTAGGTATAATATAATATTCTTGTACACATAATTATTTTATTTTTGATAAGTCGTTTTAGTGATATGCGTATGCGACGTATATACGAGTCGATTTAGTCAACAACGTTGTATATGTATAGGACGCGATGATGATGACGATGTACGTGATCGTGGTGTATAAATACAAATTGAAAACAACACATTCTTTAAACGATCGTCCGTATAAGACGGGTTAAGGTTTTTTTTTACCAACGATTCCTGTTCGTGCTATAGAGCAGTCTCTTTCTATTATGTAATAATAGTACCTACGTATACACTAGGTATACATATAATTATAATATTTGGACACTGGTAGAAGACAATAAGCGGCCATATTCGTTTAATGACCTAAAGGTATTCATATGCACAAACCATTGGAATGCTACACGCTCTATATAAAACTAATATCATATATAATATGTGTTTAATAAAAACCGAAAAAGTGTAACTCGTGTGTCATGTATCATATGATAATACGAGCAAACAAACGATTACTAGAAATTCCGATCGCAAGTTCGGATTTTGCGCGTAAATCTGTACTAGTACCAAYCTATGTAGGTAGTATAAATATGTATGACGCAGACCTCCTCGAACCACAAATATATATAAAAACCTATTACATAGGTGTATCTATATTATATTATGATAATATAATATATATAATATATTTAGTAGCGTAGCGAAATAGGTTGGTGGTCCGGCTTTGTTACAGAGTTATGTTGTTTTTTCTTCGTATGTCCTTGGTTATGATTCGAGGAGAACAATCTTGAAAAGAATTCGGTACCTACCTCTGCTTCAGTATTGTTATTTGTATTGTCTGTAAGGTAATAAATAATGATTTATAGTACCTGCAGCTCTATACAATGTTTTAGGTGCACACTCCCACGTCAAATGCTCCCGCAATAGTATAAATAATATTACAGCATCGAGGAGACGCGGGCTCAAATTTTCAAAAACCCTCTGGTAGGATACCGCGAGGTAACCGATCGCCGCCGCATGGAATTAATTTAGTACGATTGTAGCCACGGTGGGAAAAATCAATTCTTTTTCGACTTTAACGACTCCACTACCACGTCTGTTAAATCAATGATAATATATAACCATGTGACCCGAAGTTCTCTGTACAGAGATTATTAATTTTCTTTTTCATTTCGCCGATCGTGGCGTATATGCAGTATTATGTTTTTAATTTGTGGTCCGTTATGATTAATGCGTGTTGTTTTTTCTACTATTCATTTTGGACGAAATTATATTATTATTATTTAACACATTTATAAGTATTATATGTGTTATTAGTAAGTAATAATATAATATGTCTGCCGGCACGACTGCAGCTCTACTAATTTTCGTCAATATAGTTAAATTGTACCTGCACTCTTATTTATTTGGGTTATAATGTATGATTTCAAAAACATTGTGGTCTTTTATCCTTTCATGCATTATGGTTTTATATATTATGCCGTTATGAGTTGTAGAATACCCTAACATGGCCATTAGCTATGGTTACTATAACCACTTGCCCCATATCCTAATACCCATACATAATAATGATCGAAGTTGTGTGTGTTTTTTTGCCACTATAGATATATATATTTAAAGTTTTTAAGTGTATTTCGTCTACATTATGTTGGGATACGTACACAGTAAAGCGTTTTATAAGCGGCAATAAATACATTTCATCGTGAACTCCTTCATTGCAAAATATAATACAATTTTTATATTTCAGTCATTCTTGTAGAATTGTTTCCAAGCTAGAGTTCATACTAAAAAAAAATATCACTGACGTCTACTACTCTACTRTGAAATAAAACTAAAAGATAAACTACATGATACATTTTATTTATTTAATTCATAACGTCCAATAGGCTGAAAGTATATATAGGTAACAGATTTAATTTAAATGTTTTATACAAATCTGTTTACTTATTAAATGATTAACTGTTTCAATTTCAAACGCGTATTATTAGAGAAGAAATACAAATTATTCAATTGATTATTATAATAACTTCAAATATGTTTATTGGACTATTTAAGACAACACTTTGTTTAAATATTTGACTGCGTAGAAAGTATTATTTGTACAAGTTTACAAGTAGAATACGAAAATTAATCTTATACAATAATTCAAGACACAACACATTATTAACATTATAATATGAAACATTATTCTAAAACTTAATACAAATTCGTTTTCTATTATTTTACACCCAGAGAAATTAATAAATTAAAGAGAAATATTAATATCTGCAGTGATATATGCGCTGAAAAAATATTATGTTATATTCATTTTTTAAATTATAAACTTGAAATAATTTTTAGGTTTTCAGTATTTGAGTATACATATTTTATATAATTCATTGTGCGTTTTTTTAAAATATTGTGTACCAACGTCCGTTGTACGTCATGCAATATTTTTCACTCCGATTCTGTGAACCGTGAATTCACAACTACATAACTGTTTTCGGATGTTCGTGATAATTTTCACAATTAACTCAAAATGTACAACTTTAGAAGACATAAATAATTCATTCATTACATGCAATGCTATGAAACAAAACAATAAATTATATAGAATATACATTATTTTATACAATAAAACTAAATTAAAGGTAATTTTATTTTATGCTACATAGCAAAAAAAATAAACCTCTGTTTTATAATTAATTTTATTGTTTTTTTTATAGCCTAACAACAAATTACTGAAATCTGAAATAACTTATAAGATTTCATTTTATACACAATCAATAATAATAAATATCTAATAACATCATGATAATTTATTATCCTATTTATACAATATACAAGATGTAACAGATAGAACTGACTTTTGGAATAACTATTGTTGAAATTAATATTTTTTATTTATTTATTTTGTTCATTAAGTGACCTTAGCGCTGTATGTACATTTTTTTTATGTTTGTTTTTTAGTACTGAAAATAAAAAATTTTAATTTAATAAAAAAATGTTTGGATAAATTCAAAATAGGGAATCTGATTATAAAAAAAATTTCAATGGTAAAAAGATTTGTCTAAGTAGGTATGCAGCTTATTTTTTAGATTTTTTTTTAAATCCAATATTTATTTGGTTAAATTAATTTGGAACATGATGATTTTTTTAAAAATATGATTTTTGAGAATTTACTGACATGAGTATATTTCTTAAATTGTTWACATAATATCATATAATATTAGCAATTTTTGTCAAACGTTGAATTAGCATAACTTTTTTTTGATCAAGTCTTTCTGTTGCACCCTGTATACATATTATGTAATACATATAATATACAAGATAGTCCTATCCGAGATGAATTCTGAAATACGCTACTATTGTAATATTYCCTATTATAAATTATAACATGAAACATTACTCGAGCAAAAATAATATTAATAAGTATATGACTTTATGAGGTAAGAAAAAACCTATGCTAATCGAATGAAATTAAAATATTATGTAGGTAGGTAGGTACAGAAACTTGATTTTTCTAGTATTACTATATGTTACTATATGAAAATATAGTCTGCGGTATTCCTTGTATTGTAATATCAGTTACCTATAGACTATAGGCTATAGGCTATAGTACAAAAAGAATTTTAACGTTTCTTGAAATCCGTTGCCGATAAAAAAAAAATTGTAATTTAATATATAGATTATACTATTTATCTGTGATAACGAAACGTGTTTTMATTTACTAACTACGAAGTACGAATAATCTATTATCGACGGAAGAAAACACGTAATTTTCGTGTCAATTCGCTGTCTCGGATCGACAATATTCTATGATGTCGGACTGACCAAATCGAATATTTTGATATTTTTTCGACCAAATAATCAAATATATTTTATTAGAATATTATCCTAATTTATTTTTTCGCAACTATATGTCGATCAAACATTTTGTTAACTTAAATTCRACCTGCACGTATATTATCGTTATTCTTCTTTAATGTTCTATCGTCTAAATTAATTAGTCGCAACATGTGTACAGCTGCAGCAAGTCGTAGCCATTGTTACSTTATTGTATAGGTATAGTTGCTAAAAATTAAAAATCATTGTGTCCAAAATTATAAAAAAAAATTCTATATTGCTTTGTTGCATACCGTGGTATAGTCGTATAGATACTTAATATACCATAATAATATAGTATATCACATCTTTTATAGGATATGCACGAGCAAAATATATGTATTCAAAACTTGACAAGACCTGGTGACTGGTGAAGATGATAATACTTGTATTAGACACCCCGACATTTTGGAAAAAGCAATATTGTTACATTATTGAAAATGATAAGTAAAAATAAATAGTAAAAAAAGATGAAAATTAATAGAACAATATTGTTAATATTTAAAGAGGATAACCGAAACCAGTGATATAACWAATTTACTCACGTTTCGTTAAATTTCGCAGGTCGTGATGCCTGGGCCGGGTTGTGAATGATATTTAGGGGAATATCTGACATGTCTATAGAAATAATATTATTATATCTGACGTAGAAGATTATTCTGCATTACAATCAGCATTTATGTATTTTTTTTTTTTTATAATACGATTTTAAAAAGAAAAATCCACCCTGCGCGTTAGGTCTATTTTAAGTTTTATATTAATTCCCCCGCTTCGCGTGACCTAATTCTGCCACAACGTCGTCTTCCTACATATATACTTGCGGTACGTGACTGTGTACATCTATTCAGGCTGTGACTTGTTGTCGTACGAGTATAATTATTATACCATGTCTGTACCAGCTGCAGTTAGTTGACCCAAATGAAATAGTTGACGTATTATGTTTATTGTATACACGGATATCCGAAGCGATGAAGTCTTCGTGTACATACCTATATATATTATGTATAGGGAAATCAATTGGATCGACTACTGTTAAAGCAATTCGTGTTGCTATATTATGATATACATATACCACCGCATATTATAATATGCTTGAGTGAGGGACGTGAGGGTGTTGCTGGGGCAACTATAAGCTCTAAATCGGCCAAACAAACGCTCAAGAACATATAGATAGAAAACAGTATAGGATATTACACCCAGAAGTTTGAAACGTCTGTGCGGTCTTAGAGTTTTTATTATAATTTCGTTTTTTTTTTTAAATTTTTTATTCTATATACTTACCTACTTATTACTCTTACACCTACCATCGTCGCAGAACGTGCTTTATCGTCCGTAGGTATATAATATAATATATATTATATTATTATGTTTTAAGTACGTGTTTTTTTTTACTCCGCGTCTGAGCACGTTATATCAACTCGACCGTGTATACGTCACACATATTACATATTATTATTTAGGTATACCTAGGTATACGCACGTATGGTAACTGTAGAGTACGTCACTTCTGTATAGAGCACCATCGTTTATCCCAAAACATAATATTGTATTATGTCTCTCTCTAAAATATGTATATAAATATATATCTATATATAGACTAACGTGATAGTCGCCACGTATGTGTACCAAAAKATCGTATCCGAGTAGATGAAATAAGATRACATATATCCATATACGCTATTACTTTTCATAATAATTCTCATAACACGCGGTGCGTAAAATATTATTATAATAATATTATTACGACGGATTTCGGGCGGGCGGATGGTATAAGGCTGGCCACGGCGAAATCTGACACTCGTACCGGAATACGCGAGTACCCGCGGTGCAGAGGACACATGTCCAATAATAATAATAATTGTAAATTCTGCAAGATAATTGAATTTTTCTTACATAATGATGTCTCTAACATTACGACACACTCGTCTGTCCCACGGAGGGGGGAAATAGGCGCGTAAAATGAAATACATTGTTTTGAATATAGGACGACTGCTCAGACGACAATTCGCAGTCATCCATATACAAATATAATTTGTTCGATAGACGGCTGTTTATTAATTTATCGTTTTTGAATTTTTTTCCTGTGTAGATTACATACACGACTACGTGAAGCATTATGTCAAGGATAGTAACATTCAAGGTGAGCGTCTGCTTGTACAATTAAATTATAAATTTATAATGTAGTGGTGTTTACAAGGAAATTTTCGATTTTGATTTTAAAAAATGTACATTTTTTCCGATCCGTGTGCAGATGTGCTACAAGAGTTGGAGACCCTGAAATCGTTGATAATTTGGCTGACGTTGCTGGTGATCGTCGCGGTCGTCTTAATGTCCGTYATGTTGGCGTTCGTGTGGAAACGCGAGAGGAAGATTCCGAAGCTCAAGAACGGAGGGAAAGATTCATACTTCAAAAAAAAATTGGCTTTTCTAAAGGTAAAACAAAATRAAATATAATTTATTACGTACAATTTTACGTAGGTGTCGTGAAAAATGTAACCGAAAATATATAGACGTGTATGTCGGTTCTTGATAGATATAATAGGTATACGGAAAAGTAAGAATACCTACGTGATGAATTAAAAAACCTCTTTATTGTCTTCCATTTTTTTCCTCTGAAATATACCGTCACTTCTAGGAGGGTGTGTCGTCGTGTTGTTATTATTCTATATCGCATCGCATATAATAAGAATGTTATTCATTCTGCCCGGTGGACAGGTAATATGTATTACTACTATTACTATGTATTTCAAAATATTTGTTTGGCTGGGAGACGTGACGTTCACATCATTATACCTCCGCAGAGAGGAGGAATATATTGTTGTAATTACATGTACATTCGAATCTATATGTATTATMCTATATTATGAAGTATCACGAAGTGCATGCATACACAGYAGGTGTTATGTGTTGCAGTAATCGTGTTTTTATGGTCTTTTGTAACGCATATCTGTATAATATGCCTCTGAAGCTATATAGCTTCCGTTCCTCTAGTCCCGGAATGGGACCCATATAAGACTTCTCCCGATAATGGGTGGTCGTTAAATCGTAATTATTGTTATTGTTTTTTCACGGCGTACCTACCATGCTTTAAAACGAGTTAAACGACGGATTGATGAAGGAAAATTAAACTTATCGAAAAATAATTTTTACAATAACGTCGAATTCCAGTTTTGCCTTGAGTCGAATATTGCACTACAGCGCTATGTCGTCGACAACAATAATATTTTAATAAAAAAATAGCGAACAGTATAATGCCATCAAACCGWGCGCATACGAATAAAATAATAATAATATATTATTATTAATAACGATTACAAGGTTTTATGCATTTTAATGCGGGAATACAATATTAGTCATATTATTACCCAAACGAAATTATAAAATATCGTGTTCGGTTACATACAATATGACGTCTGAAAGGTAGAGAGACGCGATCGGATATATGTAATAGATTTTTAATGTCATACAGAAGTTATCAAAAATCACGTCTCGTTGACTCAATTTTAATGTATACATTAAAATATTATTTATTCCAGTCGTCTATCGACTCTCGTAGTCGTTATGCGTCAATACCCGAACRGTTTTTAAATGTATGTTATTATTATACCTATATTAATATTGTATTTTATTACACGTTAGAACAACTAAAACGATGGAAATATCGTCGAGCCTATCTCGGCCACAACTATTTAATAAACATAAATACATAATTATGCATATTTTATAACATATTATGTGTACGTTGTTTAATATGTTTTACTTAAATAATGATATATTATTGTACTGATGCTCTTGTATCGGGATGTTTATGGTTATTATTGAGTTGTGTTTGCAATATATGTCGTTTCGATACAAAAAAAAAAGCCGATGTAACGCATAATATTTACACACCGTGTGTAGTATATGTATAATAATATTTCGAAACGCATGCAGTTGTATAGGTTTGGGAATGGGAATATAAAATATAAGTTATTAACATAATATGTATGTCAATCGTATATACGTATATATATGTATATTATGTGTAATGTGTGTACGCACTATGACTATAGAATGCCCATAGTCGTAGGTGGATTTTTTCTGCCTGTGAAATATTTGGACGCAGACATTTTATTATATTGTATTATAATTAACTGCACGGTTAGAGCAACCACAATTCCAAATTTCAAGTTCGTACGTTTAGTAGTTTTTGAGATACAACGATCAATGAGTGCGTGGTATTTGACATATTATGTATAATATGTATATATTATTTAGATTTTAAATCCGTTCGGATGAAAAAAAACTATACTGCTCGTCACCTCGCTCATGTACAATTAAATTGTATTATATATATATATATAATATGATATTTTAATACATTTTAAGCTATTACAGTTCTATGTGCAATATTTATTAAATATAATATTTGTCTATCTCAGCATGTATAGTTTTACCCATACATTCCTAAATTGATGCACGCGCGCCCAAAGTGCAAATATATCAAAATTATCTTATACATCCTTTAAATTTGGAGCACTATACACTWATTTCCGTAAGGCTACTGACAAGGCCACAAGTCAACGGACAACTACAGTAAAAACTACAACAGTATGCATTTACAAAATATGTATACCTACTATATACATTTTTGTATAAACGATGAATTAAAATCTTTCGGTTTTTTTGTGGAAATTTTTCCATTTTTCTCTTGTCTCCGCCCAATGACTCAGTAACTATCCCAGGTATGGTGCTATTTGTATTCTGGTGTGTGATTCAGTTKTCTTTTGGGACCTGGACAAACTAGTAAACTTCGAGTTAAATATTTGAATAAGAATCTTGGTATAACTTTAATAGTTMAAATAATAWATTTTTTTAAATTGTTTTTGTGTTTTTTTATTAAATTTAATTATTTATACTTRCAGACCGTTCATGTAGTATATTAGCTATGACACGTCTGTAATTTTAATTGTTAAATAAATTATAGAATTAAAGTCTTTTAGTTGGAGGTGATATATWGTATATACYCACCGTAAATACGACTACGCCATCTGAGTTGTGCACCTGCTGTCGCCTACTCTAAGGCGTATATAATACTATATTATAATAACCCACAGGGTTCGTATTCAAGGAAGATTTATCCAATTTTTAATATTTATAAATAGCTTGATCTATTAAAACACTGATTTAGATAAAATGTTAAAGGCTGATACATCAAAATTATATATTTATATATAGTAATCGATCAAACTTAAATAAATAATTTAGGTTTGTTAAGTGGAGGGGAAAATCTAGCCTTAAAAATTTCCCCTGTCTTATATCTATACTGCAATATGCATTTATAATTTTTCTTAACGTTGTGGGTCATGAGATATACCTATTTAATAATAATATTCACAAAACCGAGAAATAGGTACCATTTAAGTACTATTTATTTATTAATCRTGCATCAATAATATTATTATACCGTACTCGAGTATATACTAAAAATCGTTTGTGTCTTTGTTTTGCGCAGTTCAGGAACAACACGGTTAATACGGTGAGCGAGACGCCGTGGACGGTGGCGGCGGCGACGAACATGATGGCCGCGCAAACGACGGACGCCTCAAAAACGTCGTCCGCGAGCTCGTCGTCCGTCAACCGCACAAGCCGCACGACCGTCTCATCGACGTCTACTTCGTCGACCGATAAGCTGCCTTGCGAGGACGCSACGCTGGTGACACAGGAGTTCACCGGCTACGATAATCTGGGGCTGTGCAAAGTGTCGCCCGTGCTGAGCAAACCAACGGCCACGATGAAGATGTACGGCGCTACCGACGTGGATCTGCTCCACCGGTACTCACCCTAGCCGCACCACAGATCCGACCGGCCGCAAATCACCGTCGCCGATACGACGTGTCGGATTGGTATAGATGTTCGACGGGGTGCGGATACACAAATACATACACGAATGGTGAAATGGAAATACCGCCGCATGATGAAGTGAAGCGTGGCCGAAGAAACAAAATGCCTCTGCAGAGTACCTACAACTACATAATATTATACYGTGTTTTAGATATTGTTATCTACGATCCGGCCGGACTTCCGGCCACCTGCTGTCATACAGTGCACCGCGTAAACACGACGAATGCGGAGTTAGTGCGAACGATTTCTATTCCGATGACCATTCCGTTCGAAATGCGACGAAATCTAAGTCGTTTCTTTTGCATTCGTCGTGTTCACATGTAGTCCGCCGTGCGTACGATTCCACGGAAACTTGTTGTAGTCTGAGAAACGTGACCTACATTTTGTACTCGGTAATATAATTAGAAATTTATTTTGATTTCACAAACATTTTTTTTTTCTTTGAGAGAGAGAGAGAAAGAAATGTAGAGTTTAGATCTGTGAGTGATATGTGTTTAGTAGTTTTAGAGGTTCCGGAAACCGTTCCTGGAACGTTAGGGGTAATCAGTCGGATGTTGTCAATTTTGAAAATCTCGTTTTATGTTCAATATTTTTATCGATACAAAGTCTTAGAATAATAAGCTCACACGCGCACACATATACAACGCGTTAATTGTAGTTTTTTTGTGTCTATGTTTAATTATTATTCGTTCAACTGTTATATTATTATTATTATTATTATGATTATGTTTTTTAAAACGAACTGCGCACACTACTATTACAGTATTATCGGCGACGCTCGTATCGCGGTCCAAGTACTTAAATCTCGTTCTCGTTGTTGTTATTGTTTTTATCTTTCTTTTTTTAATAATGATATAATGTAGGGTATAGGTGTTTTAAGTATTATATTTTGCGACCATATCTAATTTATACGTTATGTCTTAAAACTTTGTTGTAGATACTTAGGGTAGTCAATATATTATATATATAGTGTTAGCAATTAGTGTWTAAGTTAGGTTAAGTCGTGTTATGAGGAGTATGAAATAAACCTTTGATCAGTGAACCCCGTCCAATAAACTTTAAACAGTTTTTAGATAATTTTACGCCGCGCTCGTCCACATGTCTATATATGTATAATTGTTGTACCTATATAGATGCGCTGTCGGCGTAAAGTTGTAAGTTGTCATCAAACGCCGTTCGTTTGATGTTGTACATAAATAATTATGCATTTTTTTATTCAATTACATAAATTGATTTTTTTTTATATATTTTATAAAATATTACCTATATTTCTTGTTGTACAATAGAATTTATATTTTATACATAAAACCATAATTGAGTGAACTAATATTGCATAACAATTATATACTTTACAATGTAATTTTATACTCAACGACATAATGTTTAATTGTTTTGTTTAAACTTCGTGAGACTTTGAATAATATATTATGTTGTGTATGATGTTTTTAGATTCCACAACACAAATAACGCACATTATTAAAATGTAATTATATAGGTAGATAGATATATTATTAACTATAATAATATCGTGTATAGGTGCATTACCCGTATTAGTATTACAATACATATTTTTTAGCAAGTAGTTAATTAATATTTTATCGTAGGCACATGCATACTACGTATTGTAATATAGAACCGAGACAATCATATCATATAATATTACTTAAGTAGGTCATCAGATATTTAGGTGTGGATATTATATTAGTATCTGTACGTAGTCATACCTACTTATATATATAAACTATAAATATTATATTTATATAAGCTATATATATTTGAGTAATGTCAAATTGTAGAAACAAATTCGATTAGAATAATATTAGGATAATAATATAATATAAATAAAAATAGGTTCAATTTAATATCATAGAATATTTGTAACGTTCTGGATACGTAACGGTTTACGATTATCATGAAAAGTGTATCAAAAAGCAATAATTCTATGTAAGCATATTTTATAGGTACCTTAACGTGCCTTACGTATTTTTGAATTTTGTATTTTCTTTTAAAATGGCATTCGAGTCGAAGGCTCTGTGTGTTCGTTTTCACGTGTAATTTATTATTATATCTAATATAAATTAACATAAATAAATAATATTCATATATATTTATATACATACATATATATGTATAAGTGTATTGCTGTATTACGAYAGAACAATCTGTTCCTATTTATTTAATTTTTGTACGAAAAAAAATTATATCATGTTGTATACTTAAAAATACAATTTTTTTGTTTTTATAAATATTATCTCCTCTACTTTTTTTTTGTTTTTTATTTTTATTTTTATTCTACTCTGTAGAGTCAGGCCATCAGGCATGCCTGCAGAATTTACAGCAGTACTCACCCAGAGAAAACGCCGAGAAAGAGAACCGCAAGAACTGACTCGTCATTTATGTCACCCTCGGCGAATTTTCCTTAGGTTAACCYGGTGAACAGAGCACAGAAACGTCGAAACTGGTAGAGTACGAGCATAATATAATATTGGCATAGCCAGTCGAGTCTGAATCGCTATATATGTATAAGGTATAAGGTAGGATAGATCGGACATCTGCAGTCATCTCTACATTTTTAAGTAACATTAATATTTGGATTTTTTTTACTATGTAGGTAATAATTACCTACTTAGTACTTAATATCATAGATAAATCATGATAATTCAATCGTTTCAACACGTACTCTGCTAATCCCGTGATCTTCGATAATAAATTACGCCCTCAAAAACAGGGTTACTCAGGTGACTATAGTCCACTGTATAATCAAGGTATTCTGCAGTGTTTTAACAAACCTTATACCTTATATAAACGTTATACCTATATCGAGTTCAATCGTGTTAGTTCATGAACGCAGGTCATTTAAGTTCCCAGGACCTGCAAAGTATAGCTTTGAATACTTTATTTGTATCTATCAAATAATACACGGTTCTCGAGACCCCAGTTCGTGTATAGCATAGGTTCTTAACCGMGGGTCCATGGAGTAGTTGTGAATTTTTTTAAATAATAACCCAAAAATAAATTTGTTTCGATAGCGTTTTTAAGATAACAATAATAATGTCTTGCCCGCATTCGGCCACTTGAAAAATGAGTGATCATCATCACTTACTCATTGTTTTCTTCATCGGCACGCTTTGACATCAAAAACTCTACCAACCAATCTAATAGAAGTTATGACGACTGCGGTGTTCGCTGACGAAGGCTTATCCGAGAGCAGGCTGTATCCAGGGCAATGMAATTTTTGATTCCATTCGCTACYTACCTATCTTGGCGAGTATGGATTTTCCACAATGGTCACAATTAAAAATAAAGCGAGAAATCGATTGGACATTAAAGACGATTGCGCGTTGCTCTGTCCAATACGGTCCCAGATCTCAAAGCAATATTGCAATAAAGACAACAACAAGTGTCACATTAAAAAATATTATTATAGTTTTAGTAATTAATAGTATTACGTATTAGATTTATCATTAAAAAATAATTCAAACAAAAATTTCGTTTATTACGGGGTCCGTGATTATATTTTATACTTCAAAGGGGTCCATGGCCCAGAAAAGATTAAGAACCTATGGTGTATAGTGTAATAACGCAAAAATTATATCAAATTAAATTAGAGAGTGTAAGATAAAAAATATAAAAATTTGATACGAATAACAAGATAATATATAGGTTATAGGTTGTTATTAATAGTAGTTATTGTGTTTAAGTAAATGCTAGGCAAACACAAGGGACACAAGCCTTGAATGAATGCCGAATTTATTATAAGTTATTAAGATTTGCGAAATTACCTTCCTCCTGAATCCTCTGAAAAAAGGAGTCCTGATCGTCGGAGGGTTCTCGAGGTCGTGATTCCAGAATGATTAAGAGGACGTCGCACCCGCATGTGTCGTCTCCGTCTTCA